AGAGAGAGAGAGAGAGAGAGAGAGAGAGAGAGAGAGAGAGAGAGAGAGAGACAGGATGCACAAATGTGAACATTATGTAAAAAGTGTGTTCACACATTTAGGTAACCCAGTGCTTTCCGGAGGAAAACAGCAAAACGTAAATGTAAAATAGGCTACAGCAATGAAGAAAACATCATTTGTTTAGATTTTTCACATTTTTATGAGTGGCCTCTTTTTTTAACCGTTCCTGTATGTGGTTTTCAAAGCAGGTCAATGTGGAGAAATAACAAATAAGCTGCATTATTCCACATTCATATTTAAATCGATCTCATTTCCCGAAACAAACAAACAAACAAACAAACAAACAAACAAACAAACAAACAAACAAACAAACAAAAAAAAAAACATTAAACGAATTTTTCTTTTAAATTACATTTGTTCACCTTTAATCTGAGACACTGCTGTTTTCACATGTAACAAATGAGACAATTATTCAGAAGACAAGTCTGCTCAGTGAAACAGAATRAGTCAGTTTACATACAGTAGGCTTTGTTTCTGCAAGGAACAAAACTAGAACAATTTTTTGTTTCAAGCTCAGTCTTTATAAGCTACATGTTCTCATATGTTTCTTGCAATTTACTCTGCACATTACCTGACTTAGTCAGTATATATTTATAATTTTTTCTCATCAAAAGTCTGCACTGAAGAGGAGAATCTGTTGTACTCACAATAATAACAATAATTAAATAAAATAGAATAATGAACTTCAATAAATGCATTCAAATGAACCAGTTAATCAGAAAATATAAAACACAAAATGCCTCCAGTGGTTTTACACAACTTACAGCATATAACCCAAACACACACTTTAACCTCATCGTTATTGATTACCACATTTTCATTTTCTCCATTTTCCTTAACAGTGAACTAAAGGAGAGATGAAGTAATTTCACAAGTACTGCTGGTTGCATATCGACTGGATTTATAAGGGGCTTCTGACTCCTTAAAAGCAATAATAAAGAAATACCAAACAGACATAATTTCCCTGTTCACAAACCTGTTTATTCATGCTTGAAATGGATAATCTGCGCCTAGGTGGAGTGCTGCTCTGCAGGTACTTTTCAAAAATCATCACCTTCTTTATAA